GCAACACATGCACCCTCACCTGTTCCATCGGCAGGTCATACATCTACCTCTGATGCTGACATTCTTGACTTGCTTCAGCAGTCCTTTACATCAACAACTGTGAAGTACAGATGGCAGGCTATTGAGGGGGACCGTGCAGATGCCGCCTACTTTAACCTCGGTGGTTTCTCTCAGTCGGTGCGTTTTGGATTGACACATCATACATTCCAATACCAGCACATCTTGTGCCGACTTAATGCTTGGTTATGCATGCTCTTTCCATTGGGTACATGGACTTCTCTATGCATCTCTCACAACGAGGTGCTAAAAGTTCATCGTGATACATCCAATGAGCCCGGCACCCTCAACTACACTGTTGCCCTGGGCGATTTTTCGGGCGGAGGTTTACTGCTGGAATCTTCATCGGGCGAGAAATCCTTGCGAGTCGAAGCCTTACAGAAGTGCATCAACTTTTCATTGGTTGACACCAGGTCTTCTCCCCTTGCATTTGATGGTGGTCTTTGGCACGCCACTGAGCCCTTCGTGGGCGACAGGTGGGTCATCACGGCCTACACCTGCAGGCGTTTGGCGGAATTTCAGTCATCGGATGTTGATGCATTGCGCATGTGGGGGTTTCCCCTACCTGGCGAATCCTTACCTCGTCGGATGCCTCAACCTCAGGCGGTCGAACTGCCTCAGCCTGTTCTTCCGAAGAAATTCTGCCTTTTGCTGGCTTCACAGCACTCTGAGGTACTTCGTGCTGGCCTCTCAACTGCTGGGGTTCCTCACGTTTGCATTCAGTCTCTGGATCAGGAGCATGCCAGAAATTGCATTTTTCGTTGTGCGGGAGAAGGTGTTTTTCCTTCCATTTTCATTGTGTACTCTCCTGACTGGAGCGAGAGTCACACTCGCTGGGTGCTGCAACTCTGCAAAGTTGCTTATTCGGCAGGTTCTGCGGTGCATTTTGATATTTCTGGTTGGACCCAGTGCTGGTCGGATCAACTGTTCCTTCACTGCATTTGTACTGGTCTGCAACACATTGTGCAGGTGCCGGCGTGTGCCTACAAGGGGGTTGGTGGTTGCCCCTGGATCATGGTTTCTTCTTCGCCTTCCTTTTCTGCATTGGGGCACCCATGCTCATGTAGTCGGTGCCGTTCGACTTCCACGATGTCTGACTATCCTCCTGCATTTGTGGATGCTCTTTGCGATATCCTGCTGATATCCAAACTTCGCAAATGCTCAGGTCAATGTGAATTTTCCATTGATGAGGCTTGGTCTTGCATTCCAGAAAAGCTGACTGACTCTCCACCACATGCTTGGGTGGATGGTGGCGGCCTTCACAGCCGTCCCGACTGGAGTGGCCAGGAGCGGTCCACTGATGATATTTTCAAATCGCTCCGCCATGCCTTAATTGCTTGGTGTGGCAAAGCTTGCATTCCGTCCAGAGTTCGTCACAGATTGTTGCATCCCTCAGATTCCCATCTCTTCTCGGAAACTGAGGTGAAGGAAATCCGTGGACTTTTCAGCACTTGGCTGGAGTCCCAAGGTTGCAACTCCATTGATTGGCAGGTGAAGGATGGTCAGCCATACTGCTTGCATTCTCTGGCCGCATTGTCTTCGGCTCTTAAAGATGCTGATATGACTCTCTTCGCATTGCTCAGTGGCGTTCCTACTGGCTTCAAGCACGATATACCCATTTCCGGGGTTTTTGCTCCCTCTGGTCGCTCAGCTTCAGATGATGCATTGACTGTCTGCCAAGAAAACTGGCAGGGGGCTGAAGACGACCCAGTCCTCCTGGAGGAGCTTGTGCAGATCGAGGTGGACAAAGGCTGGTTACGTTGCATCGAGTCTTTGGAAACTGCACGCCAGATCTGGCCCAATGTTGCTGTTGGTAAGTTGAATATTGTACATTCCGAGGGCAGAAAACCTCGCTTGGTGGTTGATTCTTCCATTTGTGGTACAAATGCCTGCTGCCTCATTCCTGAGCGCTCTGCATTACCTACACTGCAAACTATCCAAGCCTCCTGGCCATTACGGGGGAGGCTCGAGCCTCTGGCAGCTTGGTCCATTGATGTTCAGGCTGCACACAAATCCATTATGGTGCGAGAATCCGAACAGGGGCTACTTGGCATTCGAGTTGGTCCCAAGCTCTATTTCTATACAGTTTGTCCATTCGGTGCAGCTTTTTCAGCTTTCTGGTTTGCTCGCCTCGGTGCATTTTTCGTTCGCACACTTCATCGCTTGATCTTCATTGCCCACTGGCTGGCAATGTATGTGGACGACTTACTTGGCTTTCAATCTGCATCAGTTGCAGAGATGAGCTTTTGCATTACTTTATGTTTTTGTGGGGCCTTTTCCATCCCCTTGTCCTGGAAGAAATTACAGTTTGGCTGCTCCATTCGATGGATAGGATGGGAGCTAAATTTCAGTATGGGCTGCGTTTGCATCCCATCTGACAAGCTTGAAAGGTTGCATTCGGTTATAGTGTCTGCACTCCGTGGCAAGTACACTGATCGGGCTACATTGAGCAAGTTATGCGGCATGTTGCAGTGGCTTTTCAAACTTTTTCCATTGGCTAGGCCATGGCTGAGGTCTCTTTATCAAGACCTCAACACTCCACGTGCAACCAACTTCAGTGTTCGACAGAACGACTGGCAATCATTCATTTCTTGCTTGAACGACACTTTACATTTGGTCAAGTTACCTCCTGGATCGGCGATTACGGTGGGCAGCCGTGTTCTTGCTGTGAGACATCACAAAGTTGCCACAAAGCACGAACTTTTACATTGCAACCTTGGTGATAAGGATATCTGGCTTCGCATTGCGGACTCTGCCTCCAAGCGTCGTGCATTGAGTCCATCCTCCAGAAGTTTGTTGCAGTTCTGGCTTGATTGGTCTGCATTACCTCCAATTTGGCGATCGCTTCGCCCTATGGAGCATTTACAGGTGGAGGCAGCAGCTGATGCCATGGGCAATGGCCGCACTTTCGCTATAGGCGGCTACATTGCTTTACCAGGTGGCGAATTTTGGTTTTCAGAATGCTTTACTGTGGAGGACTTTGCATTCGCCGAGCTCCCATTGAAGTCCGAGGCGCACAAGGACATTACGTGTTATGAGTGCCTCGGTCAGATTGCATTAGTTTGGCTTTTGAGTGCACTAAGCCCAGGTTGCAAGTTGTCGGTTCGCATGCATTCCTGGTGTGACAACAGTGGGGCTGAAGCCACTGCCAACAAGCTTTTTACTACGTCCTGGCCTCTCGCTGCATTTGTGCAGCGACTGGCTATTTTAAGCAGTTTTACTGGCGTCCACTTGGATGTACATCACATTGCAGGTCCAAAGAACACTGAAGCGGACTTTTTGAGTCGCTGGCTTCCACCGGCTGCTTTGCCAGCTCGTTGGAGCCTCTCACGACGGCGTCGAATTTCATTGAAGGCACTTTGGAATGCCTCGCCTTCCATTTCGATTTCGCCTCCATCTTGGAAGCCGCCTTTCTGCATTCCGAGTAGCTCTCCTTTAGGAGCAGCACTCTAATCACCTTGTCGCACGTTTTTTTTTTCATTTGGGGAATTGATGCGCGACTTCGGTTCTCTGGCAGATTGCATTTGGGGAAACATGCAGATCAGTTTCACTGCAAGGTCCATCCCTTGCTCGAACAGCATGATCTGCATTCCCGCCAGAGAACAAAGGAACGAGTGCTTTGCGAGTGACTGCATCAATTCCATTTGAATATTTTTTTTCATTTGCTTTATATGTATATGCTTTACATATAAAGCTGCACATAGGAAGCAGCTTCGAATACATTAGCCGAACGGTATGTGTGCTTGCTCACGAGTGTTTGGTAATGTTTTGCATGCTTGCTGCATTTCATGACACCTCATGTACATTGCAGCAAGCAGGCTCGCAGCTGCCAGCTCGCCTGCATCGCAGGCTGAAATTTTGTCCCACCCACCTCTTCCCTTTGTTTTCACACATGCTGACACTTGATACTCCACCTGATGGACCTTGGAGCCTTCAGGATTTGATCAATGCCTGGTCGGGGCAGGCTTTCTTATATGCTCTGTGGTCAGCTCCCCAATGGCTGGCGATTCGGTTAAACCGTTTTCAGCAACTCACTGAGTCAGGCGCGGTCTGCAAGGTGAGGACGGCTATGAGATGGTGCACAGCTGTTCAGTTTCCGATCTTCAGTGGCGATGCGCTTGACATTCATTACGTCAGCTATACTGTCCAAGCTTTTGCTGTGCACTTGGGGGACTTGGTTACATCAGGGCATTACAGAGCTCTCTTGTACAACAAACATAGTGGGAAGCTGCACTACTGCGATGACCATGTTAGGCCTAATCTGCTTCGTGACTTTAGTGATGTTGCTCGGGATGTTTATGCGGTTTTTCTTTCTAGAGACAACAACATCTGAATCGCAGAGTGCCGCCTATTATCGGTGCCTCTAGGTACGTTAGCCAACCATGGGACTCAACACGAGTTTCCATTATCTGGATGCCATCTTTTGAATGGCCGCTCAAAGCCCACAGAGGTCTTGAGTGTTGTCCTCTCACAATGCGTCGCAGCGTTGGAGTCGAGCAAAGCAAAGCAAAGCTTCCCTTTGTTTGGGGAGTACAGTGCTGGCATCTGCATTCTGGTGGTCGCAATTTTACTTGCATTGCTGGCTCCTGATGTTTGCATCTGCATCAAGCGATCCTTTTGTGGCCATCTTCTAAGAAGCATGACCTTTCTGCATTCCTTCATCGGTGACAGGTCGGTGCCTTTTGATGCACCTAGATCTCACCGGATGGGGGGAAACATGCAGATCAGTTTCACTGCAAGGTCCATCCCTTGCTCGAACAGCATGATCTGCATTCCCGCCAGAGAACAAAGGAACGAGTGCTTTGCGAGTGACTGCATCAATTCCATTTGAATATTTTTCATTTGCTTTATATGTATATGCTTTACATATAAAGCTGCACATAGGAAGCAGCTGCGAATACATTAACCGAACTCGCAGAAACCGGGGGCATGCGGAAAGGGCCCTAGTCGCCATGCGCAGGTCGTACAGCACCTGATCCCAGCAGCCATAAGGCTTCAGCACCGTCAGCAGCTTGCAGCCTTGCCTCTCGAGCTCGTCGAAGCAGGCCACGACCCTCTTCCCCGCTTCGCAGCCGTCCGTTGCCCGTCTCGATGTGCTCCTGCAGGAAGACCTTGATGTCCTCGAAGATGGTGGTCTCGGCGCACGGTGTCCACATCTCCGACCTCGCTGCGGGATGGAAGCCGAGGCGGTCCGCAGGGATGGGCGTCCGAAAGCGGAGTCGTTCAGCAGGATGCGGTAGCGCGTGCACTCCCCGTCCAGGTCCGGAAGCCACGGGCCTGCCAGGCGGCCAAGGAACGAGGACGTCAGGCCGTTGAAGAAGGAGTTCTCGTTCAGAGGCTCCGGCGTGCGGTAGTCAGCGGACGCGAACATGCAGAGGTCCCCGAGCAGCTCCTCGATTTTCTGGCCCAGATCGTCACGATTCCGAGTGAGCCAGTAGCCGCCCTTCTCGAAGCCCTCGTAGGTCGTCCTTTTCTCGCTCCCTCCACTGGGACGTAGATGACGGGCTGTCGCGAGCTTGGCAAAGTCCACGGTGTTCCTGTTGGCACGGGTGGATGTTGCGCAGAACATGGTTCGCCTTGGCCGGTACAAGCTGAAGGACCGACGGGCTAAGGTTACGCATGCACTCTTGGAGAGCCACGATCACGATAGTGAGGTCTATCGCGCTCTCCCCGATGAGTCAACTTGGGGCCATCTCCAGCGTATGACTGCTGGCGGAGAGAAGGGCAGGAGTTCTTGGACATGGGTGGCGTCGGCTCGGGCTTGCCTGAGATCTTCATCACGCCGCAACTCACGCCGGAGTTGCACCCCACACCCAAGGCACGTCCAAGCTACAATGTCAGACAGCTGCGCGAAGCCTATAACGAACGTAAGATTCGTTTCCTCTACTCCTTGTGTGAAGATTCTTTCAATGACCCCGGCCATGTCTTCCGGCGTGAGCTTGAGATTTGGCCACGCTATGGCTTTGCGCCTCTTACAATGCCCTAGCAGGTGGCTGGCAGACATCAGTGACTGGCTCCCGGGAATGCCGCCGACGGTGGTGTGCCAAGTTTGCCTTAGCGTATGTGGGATGGGGGCCGTCATACTGATGGCTAGGGTGGTGTGGACGAGTGTTTGGTGGCACTCTGCGCACGAACACTGTCAAGCGTGGGTCCCATGACCGCTTGCCGACACCTGCCCATGGACTGGACTTTTGGACTTTGGTGTGCGCGACCCAGTTGAAACAAGGCACGAGGGCTGTCCGTTGTCCGACAGGACTAGAGCGGCTGCCGGCGCTTTGCATTGGGCTCCACTCGTTGTCTTGGGCGGCTTTTGGCGACGGCCCACTGCTGCTTTAACTCGAGGTCGCTGAGACAGCGAAGTTTTTTCTAACGCTGAGCGGCTCATGCTGACCAAGTCCGCACGCCGCAGCTAGTACAGTAACCTCCTTCTCTAGCTAGGTCTTTCGTTTCACCGACGTTTTGTTTTGTTTGTTGGTTGGTTATGTTTCCTGGGACCGAGCGCTGCAGCTGCAGCCACCGAGGCCCGCCGACGCCTAATGCAGCCCAGCGCGACCCCTGCGGATGGCCAGTTTATTATAATCAAAATCTAGATTCAAAAGGGCTTTTGGTCTGGATTCAAAAGGTTTTAGGTTGCACAAGAAATTGAGAAGACGTACGGGAGGGATGCAGGGCCCGAAGAGCGGCTTCAAGTTGAAAGACCCTCGAGCATGATTTTGCTAGGGCTGCTTGCTCCCGGTTGATGCAAAAAGGTAACACAATGAGCTTGCTGTCCACCACCTTGTTGCAGTTGTTATTGTCCTCGCAATCATTCCTCCCCCCAGCCCTCCCCCCACACTTCCTGCCACCTCTTTAATGTCGGAGATTTGTGAAATTTCCCGTATATGTATCGTGACTGCATGGCAACGCATGTCGACCATCGAAAGTGTTTGCCAAACACATGTCGAAGTGGTGCTGTGATTTTGCAAGCTTTTTGAAGTCACGTCCAAACCGTGCAACAAACAGCTTTAGGCTTTGGGCTTCATATTTTGGACAGGCTTAGGCTTTGGGCTTCATATTTTGGACATTGAAGCTTCTGGCTTGGGGTGGGGACACGAGTGTATTGGATTGTATTGGAATAGTGCGGCAGGACTGGCGTTGTGTCATTACTGTAGGGAGCAGGAACGACATGGGGACACAGGGACAGCAAATAGAGCCTCCATGGTGATGGCTTTGCACCTGCCTGTGAAGCTGGAGGCTTCGGGTAGTCTTGTCATCAGTCATTGGAAGCAGATGGAGGCCGAGGTTAAGAACAAGACCAAGAAAACGATTCAGCATGGAAGGTTTCGAATGCAGGCCGCAACGGCAAGCCACGAGCAGGTCATACCATGTGCACGAGAAGAACCGTATCACACCTGACAGGCACAACAGCAAGATCACACGGTTCATAAACGTACTTTGTCCGCAATGCGTCTTCGAAGTAACAACACCAGCACTCACAGTGAATATGAAGCCGGGTAGCAATGGCAACTATAGCACTACGAGCAGCAGCTCATACACCTTACAGCCCCACACTTTTCCTACGAAATAACTCGTGAAAACGACAATGCCAGGGCTGGCATGGCTGGCACGGCTCGCATGCGTGGTCAGAGCTGGCTTGCAAGGTGGGCCGGCAGCGCTTCTGGTAGTTGCTGTCGTCCTCCGGCAGCTTTTGGAACAAATGGTTGACGAGGGGCGTTTGTTGAGGTTAGCTTCCATGCAGCTCCTGCTGCGGCTGCCGCAGAAGCCGAAGAGGCAGAGTTGGCTCGGTTCTGAGATGTTTTTGTCCAAGAGGATGTTTGCATGCATGCATGGATGGATGAATGGATGGAGGTTCATTCATGGATGGATGTTTTTTGCGTATTCTACATTTTCAGTGATTTACAGGGTCCTGGTTGCTTAACGGCTTAACGGTTTAGGAGACAAGTGGTCGGTCGGGGGGTGGCAGTAGTAGTAGTAGTAGTAGTAGTAGTAGTAGTAGTAGTAGTAGTAGTAGTAGTAGTAGTACTAGTAGTAGTAGTAGCAGCAGTCGTAGTAGTCGTAGTCGTAGTCGTAGTCGTAGTTGTAGTAGTAGTGGTAGCAGCAGGTCTGCTATTCTCTTCGTGAGGCGGTTATTGAGGTCCCCTCAAGCAGCTCCCAGGTCCACCAGCAAGAGCAGCTGTACCGGGAGGGCGACAAGGTCGGCCTCAAAGAGCGGTTGGATTTCCTTTGGAGTCCGAAGCGCTTCTGAGGAGATTCTGGAAGACATTGCCGCCGACGAGGGGCAGGCTGAGGGGCCGCTCCAGGACGGCGGTGCCCCTTAGCCTTCTGCGTCTTGTGGCCGTGAATGCCGTGAATCGCAGGAGATGCCGGAGGCGATGCCGCCGCCTCCGCCTCCGGAGGCATTGCCAGAAGCTCACAGCACCCAGTCAGCATCAGCTCGCAACGAGAGATCAGGAGCCGCCTCAAGCCGCCTTCGAAGATCTCGCCTCGGCGCTGAAGGAGGACAGGTCAAGGCTCCAGAGTTTCATGATGTTCCCAAGTAGATAGTTCCTAAACTCCAAACCTTGAAAGATCATCGGATGTCGTCTTTTACCAGTAAGCGGGTCGGCCTAACCTAAAACCCTTATGCCCTCAAAACTGAAGCGAACACACGAACCCAAACATCAAAGCCTTCCATGACCAGGGCTCCCTAAACTCTGCTAAGCTAGAGTTCCACGCATGTCCCGAAACCCTGTAGCGGTTCTGGATTTTGACAAGTCCCCGAAACTAGATTTCAAACCCTCCAAACCCGTTTTGGTCGCTGCCTCTTTCTGAGAAGTCTTTCAGCCCTAAGCCCTAAAACCCTTACTTTTGGTGACAGAGGGGCGAACACGAAAATGACAAGCCTCAACCTACACCCCTCCGAAACCCAAGCCCAGAGTTCGCCCTTAGCCTTAAAACTCTAAACCCCTAACCCCCTATGCCCCTAAACCCTAAACCCCGAAGGAGGCGCCCAGGGCCGGTTTGGTGATCTCTCTGCCGGCCGGCTCAGGCAGCGCCCTTCTGGGAGAGCTGGTTCTCTGTTATTAGGGTTTTGGGCGGGGGGGGGGATTGTGTTGTTCCTGTTTTTAAGATTTGTGTGGCCTTTCTTTTGTTTGCGGGGGCTGTCTGAATCCGCGAGGTTGTCTAGGGTTGGGCCGCCCTCGCTTAAAACCGAAGTCTGGCATGCCTGGTGCACTTCTCTTAAAACAAAGCCAAGTCTTCTTCTTTCATTGGCTTCCTTTCTTGTTGTTTGTTGCCCTTCTAGTTGCTACTTACCGGCGAACAGCCTGCAAGCACGATGATCCAAAGCCGAAGCACCCAAACCTCAAATCTGGAAGCTGAACCCCCAAAAAACTCGTAACCCCGACCCCAAATAAGTATTGGAAAAGGGTAAGCCCTTCCAGAAAAAGGGTAGTAAGTAATCAGAGGTTTCCACAAGGGAATACCAAGACCAACGGAGCCTTCAAAACTAAGGATCTTAGCTTCCTAGCGTTCCCGGTAAAGACGCATAGTGGAACGGTTGATGATACAAATCCTGCATGACCCATAATAAGGAATAGACCATAATTCCCTATACCATCAACCGGAGCATCCTGCTGGGATTCGATGCTTGAGGTTCCATGGATTTGAGGCCCTGAGAGCGTTAGGGAAGTGTGAATCGCCAGAGTCATCCCTGGTTTTTTTTGCTTCTTTGGGATTTAAAAGGGTTTCCTTTAAAAGGGATCCTATAAGGATTACCATAATAAGGGATCCATAAAGGCACTGTAAGGGTTGAGGGTTTAGGTTTCAGACTAAGACCAGAGATCCCCTTATCGACCCTTTGAGGATCCCTTGAAAAGGAACCATCTCCAAACTATTTAGGCCCCTATAGCAATCGAATATGAGACACCCAGGAGAGCCAGTCCCAGAGAACCCAATACCCCTTAATTAAGGAATATACCTTAAATTTTCAGGGGCCTTAATATGATGATTTAAGGTATATTCCTGAATTAAGGGGTATTGGGCTCTCTGGGTAAGAATGGCCCTGGCCTTGTTCAGAGGGCTAGGCGTGATGTTGAATTTGGCAGCTTTACACTGACCCTAAAACCCTAAGCCCGGAACCCTAAAACCCGAAACCCTAAAACCCGAAACCCGAAACCGTAAAACCCGAAACCCTAAAGCCCTAAACCCTAAACTGTCCTTCCTCCGTGACTTTGAAGGAGTGCCGTCCTCTGCGAGCCGTGCAGCGGCGTCGGGGCCCCCAAAACCTGCCTCGGCCTGCATTATTACTTTAAGGGTTTAGGGTTTATGGTTATTGTATTTCCGAGACAGTTTCCTGAACATTGTACGCAACGGTTTTTCATGTCTGCGTGCAGTTCCATATCTTTGTCTTGTCGCAGTTTTGGCGGTGTGCAGCTCAGTGGTGGAGAAATTATTGTCCCATGTGTGCATACCGAAGTTGTTGGACTCATTATTCATAGTTAAGCTGCATACCCTAAACCACATATTAGCCATCATAAAGCCCTGCACCATGGAACCCTTAGAGTACCAGTAACCCCCAAAATGGACCCCTTCAGAAGGAACCCTATGACGGAATGTCAAGGGGGGCGGCTTTGCGCCTGCCCGAGGACCGAGCGGCTGACTGGACTCCTCGGCAAACTCCAGGCTTTCGGCATCGCCTTCTTTTGGTAGACCTTTGGGCTTTGAAGGAGGATTTGGGGTTTAGGGTTTAGGGTTTAGGGTGAGGGTTTGGTTATAAACACCCTCTTTGCTCTTGGGGTTTCCGGGGCTTTAGGACTGGGATTTGATGAATTGGGGGGGATTATACTTTGGGCTTGGACAGAGTTGAAGATGAAAGATGACTTGAGGGATTGGCCTGCCAACAACCCTTCGTCAGTCACTTGTTTCAGGGGCTCAGGATTTCGGACACTGAAGATTGGCTTGAGGGCTTGGGGCTCAAGGGTTGCCGAGAGAGGCCCTCTCAGCCCTCAATCCTATCAGCCCTAAGCCCGAAGCCCTCATATAAACCCGAAGCCCTGAACCCAAAACCCTTAAGCCCTAGGAACGCTAAACCCTAAACCCCTAAACCCTAAATCCTAAACTCTAAACCCTAAACCCGAAACCCTGAACCCTCAACCCTCAAACCCCAAACCCTCAACTCCATAAGCTCCAAACCCTCAACCCGAACTACCCCATAAACATAAGCTGTAGACCCTAACCCCTAAACCCCAAAATACCCTAATCCCTAGACCCCAACATTCTCTGACATGCTCAGTGCCGTCCTTAGACCCTATGTAGAAGATAGACCCCTCATAGAACCTCCGTAGATCCCTCTAAGGGAACCCTAAACCCTAAACCTCTTTATCATATGAATTTAAACCTTAATGTCTTCGTGACTTTAAGGTTTTTTTGCAGAAAAACCCTTGTTCGTGGCCCGAAATTCTGAAAAACCCTTGTTCGTGGACCGGGAAATCCCGGAAAACCCTTATTCGTGACCCGGGATTTGGGCCACGAACAAGGGTTTTTCGGAACCATTCCAAAAAACCCTTGTTCGTGGCCCGAAATTCTGAAAAACCCTTGTTCGTGGACCGGGAAATACCGGAAAACCCTTATTCGTGACCCGGGATTTGGGCCACGAACAAGGGTTTTTCGGAACCATTCCAAAAAACCTTTGTTCGTGGCCCGACATCCCGAAAAGCCCTTGTTCGTGGCCCTGGAAATCCCGGAAAACCCTTATTCGTGGCCCGGGATTTGGGCCACGAACAAGGGTTTTTCGGAACCATTCCAAAAAACCCTTGTTCGTGGCCCGACATCCCGAAAAACCCTTGTTCGTGGCCCGGGAAATCCCGGAAAACCCTTATTCGTGACCCGGGATTTGGGCCACGAACAAGGGCTTGTCACGAACAAGGGTTTTTCGGAACCATTCCATAAAACCCTTGTTCGTGGCCCGGGAAATCCTGGAAAACCCTTATTCGTGGCCCGGGACTTGAACAGGAACTAGGGTGGGTAGGGGCGCGCGCGCTGGCGCGCGCGTTAGAGGCCACCGGTAAAGCAGAAGTTCATTGCCAAGCACCATTACTCATCCAGGCACTTTCAAAGACCTTTCCAAAAGCTGAGGCTGTGGTCACGCCATCGCTTTACGATAGCAACTGGAGCTATCAAGCTTCTTTGCGATGACCGTTCAGCCACTGGCCAGTCACGTTGCCGTTTGACGACAGCAAGCATGGGTCCTTGTCCTGCATTTTTTGTGTCCTCGCTCACATAGCAAAAGCCACCGCATGGGATTTCTTGAGTTGCTTTGCATAAAACAAGCAAGCAACGGTGTTGACACCATAGGAATTTTAGGGTTTAGCGACAGCAGCAACTTCAAACTTTTACTTGTTTTACTTAAGAATAGACACCAACGGTATTGACAACCTGCTAAATTTAAGGTTTAGCTTATGACCGCAGACCTAGTCTGCCACAAAACAGTAGCGACACATCCTGGACCCGTGCTGTCTTTGCAGCATAGTGCTTAAGTTGCTGAACTTAAAGCAAACAAGCAACGGTATGAACATGGCATAAACTTTAAGGTTTAGCCGGGCAGCAACATCATTGTGTCGAGGACTGTCAACATGCTTTACTTAAGACTAGACACGGTATTGACATCGTACTAGATTTCGGGTTTAGCTGTGGGCCGAAGACCTGGACTAGGACATAACTTTCCAAAACATCCTGCATCTCTGCGTGCTGTCTTCGCACTTTTTTACTAAAAACAAGCAAGCAACGGTACTGACACCATATGAAATTTAAGGTCTAGCTTCAGCATCACCATCATCGTGTCAACTATCTAACTTGTTTACTCAAGACAACGGCATCAACAGGCTAAAAAAATTAGGGTTTACGTCTTGACCGGCACGGCATTGCCGCATACTACTTAACTCCCTTTACTTCAAGCAGCAAGCAGCGGTATTCCTATCGCATGAAATTTAGGGTTTAGCTACTTAAGACTCGACAACAACGGTATCGACACGCTACTAAATTTAAGGTTTAGCTCTTCACAGGAACGCCATTGTCGCAGACGACTTGACTTTTAAGGTCTAGCTCCAGCATCATCATCATCATCGCGTCAACTATTTAACTTGTTTACTCCAGACAACGGCATCAACAGGCTAAAAAATTTAGGGTTTACGTTTTGACCGGCACGCCATTGCCGCATACTACTTAACTCCCTTTACTTCAAGCAGCAAGCAGCGGTATTCCTATCGCATGAAATTTAGGGTTTAGCTACTTAAGACTCGACAACAACGGTATTGACACGCTACTAAATTTAAGGTTTAGCTCTTCACAGGAACGCCATTGTCGCAGACGACTTGACTTTTAAGGTCTAGCTCCAGCATCATCATCATCGCGTCAACTATTTAACTTGTTTACTCCAGACAACGGCATCAACAGGCTAAAAAAATTAGGGTTTACGTTTTGACCGGCACGCCATTGCCGCATACTACTTAACTCCCTTTACTTCAAGCAGCAAGCAGCGGTATTCCTATCGCATGAAATTTAGGGTTTAGCTACTTAAGACTCGACAACAACGGTATTGACACGCTACTAAATTTAAGGTTTAGCTCTTCACAGGAACGCCATTGTCGCAGACGACTTGACTTGCTTTAGTTAAAATCAAGCAAGCAGCGGTATTCACATCGCATAAAACTGAGGGTTTAGCTGCAGCAGAAACATGATTGCGTGGACGGCTTTACTTAAGACTAGACAACGACGGTGCTGACACGCTAGCATAGTTAAGGTTTAGCTCTTGACCGGAACGCGAGGTTCAAAGTTTAAGAGTTCAAGGTTTTCAATTTCAGGGTTTAAGCGTTCAGAGTTTAAAGGTTTAGGGTTTAAGGGTTCAGGGGTTAATGTTTCAAGCTGTGAAAGAAGTGAAACCTTATATTTCCCTGATGTTATGGGATTCTGAGGGTGGGTGGGTGTTATTTCTAAACCGTAAACACAACTCTACTTTAAAACTGCTCGATCCGGAGCTGCTGAACCCTAAACCCTAAGCCCTAAACCTTAAATCACATGCGATGAGAGGATGCGGCAGACGTGCTCGGGGCCTCCAAAGGGTCCAGCTGCGGCGCCGCGCTCGCCTTCGCAGGGTGGGGGCCCTTGGGTCCCCTTCACATAAGGGGTACTTAAGGGGTACTTAAGGGGTACCTTAAGAAGGTCCCCGTTAAGGGTGCTAGGGGGTTCTAGCAGAGCAGAGCCCCTTCCTCAGACGGAAGGGAGGGGTTTTGGGTTTAGGGAAGAGGGCTTTAGGGGTATTTGGGCTTCGGCTTCGGGAAGGCGAGGGTTTGGGGATTTTTTGTTTTTTTGTAGGTGTTGAGGTGGAGGGCCGGGGTTCAGGGTTTGGGGGTTTCAGGATGCAGAGCTGACGAAAAGATGGGAAGCTGTTTCCCAGTTCTTGCTTTGCTGTCGGAACTCTCTTCAGGGCCGAGTCGTAAACTTGATCCACTGACAAAATGCACACAGAAAGCCTGAACACCTCTTGCCCTAGGAACCCTAACCCCTGAACCCTAAACCCTAAACCTTAGACCCCTAAACTCTAAACCCTAAACCCCTAGGAACCCTAAACCTTAAAGCCCTAGGAGCCCTAAACCCTAAACCCCTAAACCGTAAACCCTAAACTCTAAACCATAAACCCCGAAACCCTAAACCCTTAAACCCTTAAACCCTTAAACCCTTAAACCCTTAAACCCTAACCCCTAACCCCTAAACCATTAAACCCTAACCCCTAAACCCTAGGAACCCTCAACCCCTAAACCCTAAACGCTACCCTAGGCCCACTCCGACCGAGGCCCCCGAGGTTGCCGCCTTCCAAAACAAGAGCTGCAACTTTCCTCTGAGTGGTGCTGTCCTCAAAACGATTCTCTGGCTTTCCTTAGTAGGGAATAAGGGATCTATAAGGGTACTATAATGTAGGGGTGTGGCTTTCCTTACCTTTTCGTTAGCAGGGAATGGGCCTTAGAAGGGATCTATAAGGGTACTATAATATAGGGGCCTTAATAATCCTATAACTTACCTTTGGTTAGTAAAGGGGCCCTATAAAGGGGTCTATAAGGGCTACTATAAGGGATCTATAAGGGAACTATAAGGGGCCTCAATAACCCTATATCTTACCTTTGGTTAGTAGGGAATGGAAGAATGGTAGTAATAGTACTTATAATTGTACCTCATTCCTCCATTCCCTACTAACCAAAGGTAAAGATCCCTTTAAGGAACCCTAAACCCCTATAGATCCCTTTAAAGGAACCCTATAGCTCCCTTTAAAGGAGCCCTATTCCCTACTAACCACAGGTAGGTTCTGTGGCTTTCGGATGTAGGGTATAGTAGTAGTACGCATGGGCTCGCAAGTCTACTTTGGGTTTACGGTTCAGATGCAGAATTTTCGGAATTAGATCTCCGACATGGAGAATGGTTACCCCGAAACGGGTACCACATACAACCCTAAACCCTAAAAGTTGTCTATAAGTCTATAAGCGTGTCATGGAGAGAGCAGAGGCCTTCCAGACTGTGGGCGTGCCAGGGTATTCGGTTAAGGGTTTAGGGTTTAGTATTGCTATGTTTAGGGTTTACGGTTTTAGGGTTTAGTGTTGCTATGTTTAGGGTTTCGGGTTAGCGGAGCTAGGTAAAGTGGGCTGCAGCTGGAAGTGGAGGAAGATTCCGCTTGCCATCACGCTTAAATCCAGAAAGGTCAGTTTTCCGAATCATGCCAAGTGCAGTAAATCATGTGGGGGATTCTTTCATAGGCGCTATATTCCAAGAACCCCAGACTGCAGTAGGATCCGCTGCAGGACCGAAGGCTTAAAGCCATGACAGTATCGCATCCCCTTTAGTGTTTCTTACACACACATATATATGAATAAATAAACATAATCAAATAAATCATCATATATATATATATATATATATATACACGTACACATTCACACCCTAATTAAGCCCTACACTCCAAAACCATCTGCACCCAGGGACGACAGCCTTGGTTGGTCCTGCCGGGCTCCGACAAAGCTGCATCTCAGCTGCTAAGTCCAAAGTTTCGATTTCAGGCTTTCGGGCTCTAGGTTTTTGAGGTGCAGGAGCAGGGTTTGGGTTTCGGGGTGCTGTTGCAATTCGGGCTGTATGCGTATTGTGATCTGTACCTCAGTATTCATTACGCTTCGTGTCACTTCAGCTCCTTCGTCTTCAAGATGGGAGTTTCCCAAAAAATGCGGGTACCTTATTCTGTGGTCCTTGTAATAAGGATCCTGCTGCTGAGGGTACTACATTTAGGGTGCCCTGCTTTCGGAAGCTCCTAGATGAACTTTCTTTTCTAATGATGGTCATATTTATGGTATTTGGTATCGTATCTTATCGTTCCGTAGTTGAACTATGGTTGTGGATGGTGCCTCTTGTAATCATTCGTTGCTGTATAATTCCAGGATGCGCGATGTGGCTGGTTTAGTGTTGAGGACCTCGGAAGACCGGGACTTTTGGAAAACCATCGCAAGAGTTCAATGTATGTCAAAAGGCAAAAGGAGGGACCCTTAATGGTGACCCTTACCATATAATTTGCTATATATTGGGTATGTAATGGATATATTGAGGCTATATACCTAGGGGTCCTTATTAAGGGTCCCTCCTTTTACCCTGGGAGTACGGGATGTTGGGTGGTACGGCAACGAACACGAAGCCGTCCCGGGGCTATTCGGAAGTATCTGTGTTGAAGGCATGCGAAAGGGAAGGATGCTAACGCAGCAACAAAAACTCAGTCAAACCACTCCAAACCCGAAACCTCCAAACCTTAGAGCCGTAGATCACCAAACCTGACAATGACATCCCAAAACACGAAAAGCCTTAAATCCCAAGCAGCCTTAAAACCCCAAAAGTCGAAGTCACAAGCGCCGTTGCAGGAGGAGCTCTGAGCAATTTGGGAGTGGAGTGCCGAGACCGAGCCGTGCTTGGCAAAAGCCGCCAGTTGGTTTTGGGGGGACTTCGGGTTCAAGGTTTGGGGATCACGGGTTTAGGGTTTGGGGTTAAGGGCTTATGGGTTTAGGTTTGGGGCTTAGGCTTTCGGATTTCTGGGCCCAATGGTTTTGGCTTCGGCGTGCGGGGTCTTAGGGTTCAGCACTGAAAACATGGTTCAGGGTTTAGGGTTTAGGGCCTTGTTCCCCAAAAAACACGTCAAGCTAACCCTTGAACCCGCAAACCTCGAAGCTTAGGAAAGGCGCCGGCTCCCTGCTTAGCCCTGACTAGAATGATCTAGCCCAAATGAGGGTTTCGGGAGCTTTGGGGGTTTAGGGAGCTTTGGGGGTACCATCCATGCCGTGATTGAAGCCCACAGCATAAGCAAAATGACATGCCCTCGGAGAACACTGATAAGGATAGGGACATTGCAATGCCAGCGGTGTAGGTATGGCACTCGCGAACATGCCAAGAGACATGTCCTGGTCAATCACGTCTTTCACTGGGATGCTCGCTAACTTCAACCCTAAAGCCTAAAATCTTAAACCCTGGACCTAAAACCCTAAAGCCTAAAGTCTTAAACCCTAGACCTAAAACCGTAAAGACCTAATCTATCCTTACATCCAAGCACGACTTAACACCCTGGGCTTCTGCCAGAAAACCCAAGAAGCTGAAGAAGCCATAAGCGGAAAGCCCGGAGCTTAGCCTTATCACCAAAAGCCCTAAGCAAAGCCTCAACCCCTCAACCCCTCAACCCCTCAACCCCTCAACCCCTCAACCCCTCAACCCAGACTTCCCAAACACCTCGTCGACGTCTCTGTGGCTCTTCAGCCGATTCTCCGGCGCCCAACTGCAGTTTTGAGCTACGCTGCCGGGTCGGCGGCTCACTTGGGAACGTTTTGGGGCTTCCAGGGCATATAATCCTGCACACACACTTTAAGAAGGTGTCTGAAACGTTTATAGGGCTATCTTGTACGTTTTAAGTATGGGGTTTTGGGCCCTCTGGCTTGTGTAATTCTGCGGGTCTTGCGATCCAGAGTTATGGGTTTCAGGTGGGCTTCAGGATTCTGGGTTTGGGGTTTCGGGTTCAGGGTTCAGGCTTTGGTTTTGGCACTTGCCGCCGCTTACTCTTTAACTCTGGAGTTTCGAGTTTGGGTGAATGTGTCGGTTTGGATCTTGGGTGCATTTCTAATGCAGCAGAAGTCATGGCTGACGGCCAGAACTGTTTCGCACAATGCGTTTCAAAGCTAGAGACACGATGACATGTTGTTGTTGAGTTTTAAGGAGGCAGCAGCACCACGGTAAGCCTCAAACTCATGCAAAAAGGATTCAGGCCCATCTCCCTGTAAAGACCTTACATAGCCTTTCCTCCCCCTCAAAGAAGAGCCGCCATTTCTAGAGCATCACTGTCTCTGAGGCGTCCGCCCGCGGCGTGGGCCCGGATCTCTGTTTCCTAATTCCTCGGAGTTTCCAGAAGTTCTGGGATTTTTCAGTGGCTTTCGCTCGGTCTTGGGGTTAAGATGAAGGGTTTGGATTAGGGCTTGGGGGTCTTTAGGGTTTAGGATTTAGGGGTTTAAGGGTTTAGGGGTTGAGGGTTAAGTGATGAAGATCGAGTAGTTTCAGTGTGAGCATTGTGCAGCTGCTTGGAAGGGCAGCTGTTGTGAGTTTGATGTCCGCTGTCAGGCCCCCCCTTTTAGCTGGGCCCGATGAGCCAGCCGCGGCCTCAGGGCAGGGGATCAGAGGAAGCTGTGCAGCCGGGTTTTGCATGGTGGTTTGCGAGGTTCCGGCTCTGACTGCCCGGGTCTGTAGTGCTGCTGGTACTGCTGCTAGCTTACTCCCAGAAAGAATGACTAGTTGTGCTGACACAAGTACTAATGCTAGTGAAGTGTTACTATCACCATTTGTACCATTTGTATGTAGTACCATTACTGCTAACGCCGCTGCTACTACCGCTACACCTGCCACTGCTACTGCTAATCCTCCTCCTCCCGCTGCTCCTCCTCCTACGACACGACTACTCCTCCTGCCGCTGCGCCTGCTGCTTGAAGGCTCATGGGACTTAGTAAGTAAGGTTATAAGTACCCTAATTAGGGTTATAAGTATAGTTACCCTAATTATAATCCTAGTTACTAAGTCCCATGATCCTTTAAGTACTGTTAGACTGGACACCCAGGCCGCTGAAGCAGATCCAGCGGACTGCAACCGTTGCCTGGTGCCCGACAGAGGCACGGAGCAACTCACATGTTCTTATGTCTCTGGAACACCCGACAGCCTCGTAGAGCAAAGATAAGACCCTTGAAGAGAGATTCTCTGCAACCCCTAAACCCCTAAACCCCTAAACCCTTAGCCCCTAAACCCCTAAACCCTCAACCTTCAACTCTAAACCCTAAACCCTCAACTCTAAACCCTAAACCCTAAACCCTGAGTTCTAAGAGGCCGAGCCAAGCCTGCTGGCCCTTGGGAGCAGCGCGAACTCAGCGGCTTCGGCCATCGGCGGTTCTGCTCGGGGCTTGGCTCCGGGAATCCTTAGTTTGAGGTTTAGGAGTTTAGGGTTTAGGGTTTAGGGTTTGAGGTTTAGGAGTTTAGGGTTTGGGGTTTGAGGTTTAGGAGTTTAGGGTTTAGGGTTTGAGGTTTAGGAGTTTAGGGTTTAGGGATTAGGGTTTTGAGGTTTAGGGTTTAGGGTTTGAGGTTTAGGGGTTTATGGGTTTAGAGAGGATGTGTTAGCTTCATGCTTTGTTGAGGTGTTGCATACCACGATTTGGGCTGTGTCTCTTGCCATTACCATCATCATCGTGGCGCTAGCAGCAACTAAGATCTAGAGTCTGTGGAGGTTTGCTGTTTGCAAGTATGTTGAAGGCTGCCTCTTTGCACTTTGAATATCTGCATGCAGAGTCAAAGCTTT